TGTAATGAGCCTGTAAAAGTGCTGGGGGGAGCTGGGCGTGTCCCTGGAGTCCCAGGTACCAGGGAGGCTGAGGAAGGAAGATCACTTGAGTTCAGAAGTTTGAGGCTATCTTTGGCAGAATAGCAAGACTTCATCTCGAAAAGAAAAAGAAGTACCAGGGGAAGGAAGGGCAGGCTGGAAAGGCCCACGGCCCACCAATGGGGATGGGGTGGGGTGGGATGGTGACAGCTGTGATAACAGTCTGCAAAGGTACAAAGGAAAGCAATTAGCTGGAGCCTTTAGGCAGGCCTTGCCCAAACAGCAGGCTGGATCCAATTTAGGATCTGCCTTAAATGTCAGACAAGGTAATTCAGGCCCTCCCTGTGGGCAGTAGGGAGCCACAGCAGGGTATAGTGCAGGAGCAGTACACGGGGGTGGCCATGAGCTGGACAGCCACAGCTGATGAGGCTGGGGACCAGCTTCACAGGCTGCGGCCTCATTTGGCCCACCTTGGTTTCAGCCCATTCCCTAAGCCCCCAACCCCTTGTAGATCATGAAAACCAGACAAGTCACTGATACTGATTCAGGATGTAGAGAAGGTAGACAACTGCCCTGCTCCCTCCTGGGAGCCCCTGCCCGGATTCACTAGTGCTGACAGGGGGAGACTTCCCTTGTTGGATAGTCCTCAAGGGCAAGGAGCATTTACTCCCCCTTACAGCCCAGTACCCCAGCTGGTGCTCAATAAATGTGCAATGAATGCATCCAGGGCCAGTGATAACAAGAAAGAATGGCTGAATGTTTCTGCCATGGTCCCCAAGGACTCAGCTCCTCCAACCTCTACCAGGCCCAACTTAGACGTTCCCTCTGTACCCATTCTGTCCGACTCTCTCACCAGCTGACTTGTAATCATGGACTCAGGTCAGGAGGCCTAGGTCCAAACCCCGTGTGATTCTGGGCCAGCCGCCTTGCCTCTTCTGCCCCAATTTCCTCATCTACAAACCTGGGATAATGTGAGGAGCAGGTGCTCAGCACAATGCCAGCCAGGCTTGGGCAGGTGCTCCGCAAACGCAGTCTCACAGGGGACACATAGGAGGGAACTTGGGAAGACAGCAGGCTCTGTCCACTTTCAGTCCCCTCCTAGCCTAGGCCACACTGACAGGAAACCACCCAGTTTGTGAGCACAAGGCAAGAGGTGGCCAGCATGGGAGCCAGGAGCAAGCAGGGATTAGACAGGGCCTAGCAGGGAAGGGCGCGTCCTGGATGTGTTGCTTGCAAGGGACAGTGTTCACGCCAGGGGGAACCTACCCCTGCCTGCCCATGACCTGCAAGCCCAGGTTCAGGCCAGGATGCAGGTGCCTGCAGTTGTCCATGCCTTTCAACAAGTGGCCAGCATGGGAAGAGCTGGAAAACAAAGGCTGAACATTCCCTTTGAAGACTTCCTGGTCCCCCATTCTGTCCCTTCCCACTTTCTGGGCCATCATTGCCTCCACTTTCTGATCCTGATCATTTTTCACATCATCTCCTTTCCTGATTGTATGTTTGATGTTCAAATAAAGCAAAGTTAGATGTGCAACTGACACTACAGTCACATGACACCATTTCAGGTGAGGAGAAGGGGCTCCTGGAGAAATCTTCTTTTAACTTGATAATCACACCACAGGTGTGCTGCTGGCAGCAGGGAGAGAGGAGGCAAAGATCACAAAACAAGCAAGAAGGGGAGATAGAGGATGGGAAGACCACTGGGGACAGAAGCGGGAACAGAGGGGGCCAGAGGAAAAAAGCAAATGGGATAAAAGAGAGAAGCGGGTAGGGAGCAATAGAGAGCAGATTTCAAGCACTGCCTGTCCATGCGTCCCTCAGTCACCCAGCAGGAGAGACAGAGGGAGCCACCAGGGTCTGCACACACTGTCACAGGGACAGCTGTGCCTCTGGGTTTCAAAGTCTCCTTCCTCCTATCCCAGAGCTGCAGCCAAAGGCCCTCTGGTGCCCCACCCCACCCACCTTCACCTGGGCCCACCCATCCCTCTGGTCTTCAGCACCCCTGAAGAAGGGAAATTTTCTTCCTCCCCCACCTCCCTCCCAAGCCTGAGGAGCACAGTGCATTTCAGCGCCCCCGGCTGGAGTTGGGAGGTCTCACCTAGCTCTGGAAACACTGCTTACATCTCCTGATCTCTGGGATCAGAGTAAAGTTCTACATAGGAGCTTGGTTAGTCAGCACCTCCCTAAGAGACACAGTTAGAATGAGGCCGGATGCATTCCTAGGGTCCCTCTGAGGTTTTCCAGGGGTCCCTGCATAGAAGCAGGGGACTGGACAAGCTGACTTCGAGCTTAAATGCTGAGCCCTGTGCTGCACTGTACCTGAGCTGCACTGTTGCTGGAGGGCATGACATGTAAGAGAGGAGACGCTGGGGGCAAGCTCAGCACTCTTCCCTAGGCCCTCCTCCCCAATGTAAGCAGGCACCCACTTTGGAGTCTGGGGGCTCCCAGGAGGAGGGGAGGGGAGGAAGCTGCCACCGATCTGACCAGCTAACGGCTGCTTTCCCTCGCTGGCGCTGGGGGCCTCCCTGGCCCCTGCCAGATGCTTTGGGACTGCTCCAGCCACAGCCTGGCTCCCACTGTCACAACACATCCCCTCTGCCACCTCCACCTGCCCTGGACCCCGCAGCCAGGGACGTGGATTGTGGGGTCCAAAAGGTTGGCTGTGACTCCGCGCAGTCAACCTCTCCTCCTCCAGCTCTCTGGCTGGGGTTGTGTACTGATCTCCTCCTGAGAACACGGGCCAGGAGGACACTGGTCCCAGCCCTCAGGAAGCACCCAGTGCGGAGGAAGGGGGTAGACATTCAGAGGGGTCTGAGCCGCCCGGAGAAAAACGCGGCCGCGCGAGGGCGAGATGCGCGGCGTGCGCTGGGGGTGCGCTGTTCCACGCGCGCTGTCGAGGCCGCTGCCAGACGGCGACACGCGGCGCTCAGGGCCCAGCTGAGCTCCGCCCGGGGGCTGCGCACCCTGCACTGCACCGAGGCTCCTGCGGGGCGCAGCTGGGCTCTCGGCCGAGACCGGACGCCGGCAGGGCACGGGGGCGCGGGAGGAGGGTGACACGCATGCCGCTCCCAAGATCCGGCACCTCTGCGCAGCAGATCCACGCCCGCCCTGCCCGCTCCCTCCGGCGCTCACTCACCGCTACCGCCGCGCCTCGAGTCCCGACCCCGCAGCTCCGGCCCGTGGCTCCCCGCAGCCCCGTGCTCTCCACTGCCGTCGCCCCCGCGCCGCGCGCCCCCCACGTGGCCACGGGAACAGACCGCCGGCATCACCTGGCGGCCGCGCCGGCCTCGCCAGCCAATCGGCGCCTGCGGAGCCGCTCCTCTCGGCCACGCCGCCCAATCAGAGGCCTCGGTGGATCCCTGGCACCGCCCACCACGCCCGCGCCCAGATGCTCCGCCTTAAAGGGCGGGGGGCGCTGTCAGCCTCCCCTCTTCTCGGGTCCTGAGCCCTTCGGGCCACGCTGACTGGTCCCCACTTCTGGAGAGCCCTCGCCCCTTGCGCTTCCGGTCATCCCGACGGCGGCTGCCGCAGCGCCTGCTCGGAGGAGCAGTCCCTGACCACCGGTCTGGACTGCGCCGCGCCGCTCTGGCTCGCTGCGTTCCCTCTCTTCTTCCTCGCGTACCTGCAGCCCTGGACGGGGTGGTCTCCATGCCCAGTGCTGGATGGCGCCTGGTCACAGTAGCGTTCAGAGTTGGTGGCTTCGACCCTGGCTTCGGGGCCGCCGGGCCACTGTCACCTTCCCCAGGACCCAAGGTGTCGAGCATCCGCTTCCCGCCTGGCCGTGCTCAGGTGACAGCTGCTCAGCTCAGGGCTCCGCACTGAGCTGAGCAGTGACTCTGTCCTTCGGGCCACACGGAAATCCACATAGATGGGGAAGGGTCGGCGGCAGCCGTGAAGGGAGACTTGTGTCCCGCCAGGCGCGCTGCAGGTGCCAGGAAATAAATAGCGAATCCGAGTCGGTCAAGCTTTTGGTGTGTAATAAACCTGAAATCTGCAGAGAAAGCACCGGAAACTGCCTAAGCCGGGCACCGGAGAGAAGCCAGGACACCGGGCCTCAGGCCCAGGCGGGAGCGGTCAGCGCCTGGGCAGGAAAGGCATCTGACGGAAACCTGGCAGACCTGGGTCTGGAGCCTCTGGAGCTCCTGAGGAGGCGGCTGGGGCCGCTCGGCCGTCCTGGGCATCGCCTTCGCTTCCCAGAGCGCGTGGAAGCCACAGTGAGGTGTCATCGTCAGGCAAGGTCCGCACCAGGCACTTCCTCTTACTAGAGAGGAGGGGGCACCTGAATTACTTGAACCTTCTAGGTCTGGCTGCCAGGTAGAGTTAGCAAGGCCTGACTCAGCCAGTGAGGATGCGCAGGAGCTAATGAGGGCAAAGGGCGTGGCCCAGCGCCAGCCCCAGGCCAGTGAACCGCTCAGTAAATATTAGTTGATAGTAGCCTTCGCTTGTATTCTTGAGTTTCCCTTGTATATTATTGAACAGCAAATGTTTACTGAATCAACATATGAAGTGCTCTGGAAAACCGCCGCACGCCGGCTGACACCAAGTAGTGAAAGGAGAAGGAGCAAGGTGGTTTGTGAGTTGTTCTTGTTCTCCACAAATCCAATTTCAGAAACAGGGTACAGAAAAATAAAGAGCTAATTCCTACCTCTAAAAAAGCAAGTGGATTTAAATAAGAATACTCGTTAGTTACTAGATCCATAGTCCCTGTTTTGAGACTATTTAAGAAAAAAAGGGGGGGCCGGGGATTTAGCTCAGCGGTTTCGCCGCCTGCTGCGCAAGCTCAAGGACCCGAGTTCGATCGCAGGTACCAAAAAAAAAAGAAAGAAAGAAAAAAAGGTATTCCGTACTGACGCTAACCAGTTTCTGGTGCATACATTTCATTCTGATACATTTAAAAAATAACAGCAGGAATTTGTTTCTGGTCAAAATGACAAAAGACCAAAGAATTAAATTCAGATAATGAAATAGTTAAACCCAGAGAAAGAATTTTGCCTTCTCAGCCTTAGGCAAAGACAGAGATTAAAAATATGATTGGCAGGTACTGTGCTAGGTCCCAGGGGGACAAAGATCTACAACAAAACACCCAACACACCACAAAAACCAGGTCTGGAAAGACAAATGCATTCAAAGTCTACGACACTGGCTCCTGGTTTTACTGCTACCAAGATTCTCCTTTATTGGTCCTTTTTTCCCCCTTCAGTATCAGGGATTGAACTCAGGACCTTGTACTTGCCAGGCAGGTACAGTGCCACTGAGCTACAGCCCCAGCCCTCCTTTATTGGTCTTTACCTACTCAAGAATACAGTGCTTTGAAACCAAATGCAGTTGTACATTTGAAGTTCATTACTTGGTTTTTTTATTTATGTATTACAACAATGCAACTGTTGGAGCTGTTCCCCCAGATTACCAAATTCAGTTGATATAATTCCACTAAAACACAGAAACTCCAAGCTTTGACCACCCATGCAGCCTTATCAAAGGTACAGTATGTTAGAGGCACAAGCTCAGAGGTGTACACGGAAGATGATAGACTTTAGTGAGCATCAGCCTTCTCCTGGTGAAGATGACCAAGTCCCACTGCAGACAGCAGCTTGAAGCAGTCAGCACTGCATCATCTATCTACCCAGGTGTCTGGGGTCACACTCCTGCCTGCACAGCTCTCGGGAGCCACCAGGTGTAGAGCATCACCCTCGAATACTGACTCACTTGTCCAGGAAGCCTGGAGGAGTAACCCATATAAAGCAAAGGAAGAGATGACAAAAAAGGCAAGCTGGGGTGGGGCGGGAGTCATGAATGCCGAACACACCATGTCATGGTATTTCCTGATGAGTCAATGACAGTTGCTAACCCACACAGGTGTGAGCTTGCTGTCTTTCTGCAGAATCCCAGGATGTGGCTCAGGAGCGGCCCACTGACAAAAGTGAGTGGGATGGAACGGCACACCAGTGAGAAGCGGAGGCTGGAAGTGAGCTCCAGGGCCATGCAGAGCTGCATCTCTGGCACATTTCCAGTGCACAGTGCCTTCCCTTGGTTCCTCAGGGCACCCTCTTCTGCCCATAGTCACCTGCCCTTAGCGCACTCCCACTGATGGCTGTCCCTGCAACCAACCCCCAACATCGTCCCTCCAAAATAAGTGACCTAGAAAATAGGGATTTTTTTGTTTTTCCTTATTCTTTTTTTTTTTTTTTTTTGGTAGGGGGTCGAACTTGGGTCCTTGGCTTGCGAGGCAGGCGGCGGAACCACTGAGCTATATCCCTGGCCCAATACAAATATTTTCTGGATTCAAACTCTCTGAATTTTTCTTTCTTTTTTCTTTTGGTACCGGGGATTGAACTCGGGTCCTCTGGCTTGCAAGGCAGGCGGCAGAACCACTGAGCTAAATCTGTTTTTGCTTATTCTTAATTACGGACAATTGTTTCTTTTTTTTTTATTAAATTCTTTTATTGGTACATTGTAGGTATACAATACAATTACATTTCTCATTGGGAATTGTACCTTTACATAATGCATCTTGGTTCTTATTTTTTCCCCATTCCTAGACCTCCCTTCACCCCCTCCACCCTTCCCTATTTACAAAGACTTTATTTCCATGTTTTCCATTTCTCATCATTTTTCCTTTCCCTTCTTTCCTTTCCCCTGCCCCTCCCACTACCCCTACCCCTTTGGACCTTTCCTATTTTACATGATCGATTATTCATTCTAATCATTGGTACATTTTAGGTATACAATATAATGACATTCATCATTGGAAATTTGCACCTTTACATAGTCTCTCTTGGTTCTTATTTTTCACCTTTGCCCAGCCTTCCCTTCAAGCCCTCCATTCCTCCCTATTTACAAAGATTTTGTTCCTATTTTTCCATTTTCTCATATTAATCCCATTCCCTTCTATCCTTTCCCCTAGCCCTCCCACTTCCTTCCCCTTTGCCCCTTTTCTTCCTATTTCACCTTACCTATTATATATTTTAGTCCTTATTTACAATTTCAGTTTCTCATACCAGAGAAACTACTCAGTATTTATACATGTGTGTCCTATTTATTTCACTTAAGAGTATCGCCTCAATGTGCATCCACTTAGCTATAAATGTCTCTAATTTCTCATTTTTTATGCCTGAGTAATACTCCATTTTATTTTTTAAAAATCCCACATTTTCTTTATCCAGTCTCCAGTTGATGGGCATTTGGGCTGTTTCCAAGTTTTAGCTATTACAAGCTGTGCTGCTATGAACATGGGCACACATATATCACTGTGGTATGATTCTTTTAATTCTTTGGGGAAGATACCCAGCAGGGGAATAGCTGAGTCAAATGGAACTTCCAGTCCTAGTTCTTTGAGGTATCTCCATACTGATTTCCACAGTGGTTGCCAGACAATTGTTTCTTCCCTCCCCAAATCCATACGTTGAAGTCCTAACCTCTGGAACCTTGGAATGTAACTGTATTTGGAGACACGGTCTCTAAAGAAGTAATTAAATTGGACCAGGGATGTAGTTCAGTGACGCCATGCCTTCTGGCTAGCACAAAGTCCTGAGTTCAATCTCCAGTACTGCAAAGAAATTGAAATGAGGGGTCTGGGGATTTAGCTCAATGGTTCCGCTGCCTGCCTCAAATAGGGCCAGGATTTAGCTCAGTGGCACTACACCTGCCTCGAAAGAGCAAGGTCCTGAGTTCCATCCCCGGTACCAAAAAAGAAATCAATAACAAATGCTGGAGAAGCTGGCGGGGAGGGGGGGGTTTCTACACTGTGGGTGGGAATGTAAACTCGTACAACTACTATGGAGATTTCTCAAAAAACTAAAACTAGAAATTCCATTTGACATGGCTTTCCCCTTTTAGGAATCTTCCTGAAAGAGTGATATCACACTACAGTGATACATGCATACCCATGTTTATAGCAGCACAATTTATAACAGTTAAATCTTGGAAACAGCCTATATGTCCATGAACAGATGAATGGTTAAAGAAAATGCAGTTTTTATACATTATGGAGTACTACTCTGCCATAAAGGATAAAAGTTGAGGCATTTGCAGATAAATGGGTACACCTCAAGACTATAATATTAAGTGAAATAAATCAGATGCACAATTATCACATGGTTTCTCTTATATGAGAAACCCAAAATATAAATAAATAACCAAATAAATGATAGAAAAAAGTAAATGATAGATAACAGGAAATAGGGAGTTCTTTTTCAAATGGGAAGGGGAACAAGATATGGAGGAAGGGAAGAGGAAGGAAGGAGAAAAGGTTTTTTAAAAAGTGAAAATAGAGCTTTTTCAAATGGGAAGAGAAACAAGAGTTGGAGGAGGGGCCGGGGATTTAGCTCAGTGGTTTTGCTGCCTGCTGTGCAAGCACAAGGACCCAAGTTCGATCCCCGGTACCAAAAAAAAAAAAAGAGTTGGAGGAACCAGGGAGAGGAAGGAGGGACAGGAACAAAAAAGAATTAAGATGTGTTATGTGCATGTACAGACTCCCCACAATAAATGTAATCATTATGTACTGCAGACATGTACTAATAAGAATATAAAATAAACTTTGTTTCAGAGACAAAAAGAAACACAAAATCTTAAAAAGCCTAGTGTTTTAGTTACTTTTTCATCTACTGAGACACAATACCTGACACCCACAACTCTAAGGGAGAAAGGCTTATTTTGGGTCCCTCTTTGTAGAGGTTTCAGTTCACAAGACTACAAGGCAGGGCAGCATGGCAGAGGGGCATGGCAGAAGGGAAACAGCTCATGGCATGGCAGCAGGAAGCAGAGATAGAGATTAAGAGAGAGAGACAGGAGGAGAAGGGAGACAGACTCCTCTAGACTATGCCCCCAGTGGCCCACGTCCTCTGACCAAGCTTCACCTGCCAACACCACATTTAGCTATAAACTCATTGGTGGACTAATCCACTCATGAGTATCATGACCCCATGATCCAATCACCTCCCCAAAGTCTCACCTATGAGTGCATGGGGCTTCGGATGGACAACTAGATATAAACCATAACATTCTGCCCCTGGCCCTCAGAAGACTCATGTGCATCCCTTTGTGCAAAATGCACTTAGTCCATCTCTAAGAGCTGCCAGAGTCTCAACAGTTTCAGCACTGCTGAAAAGTCCAAGTCCAAAGTCTTCTCTGAGACTTAAGGCAAACGCTTAGCTTTGAGCCCCTATAAAAATAAAAAGAAAGTTAAACACTTCCAGGATAAACATTATCATTCTAAGAGGTAGACTAGGAGGATAAAAAAGAATGGACCACATGCCTGTAATACCAGTTCTCAGGAGGCTGAGGCAGAAGGATCACCACAAGTTC